AATAAATAAATACATAAGCTACATTCATAGTTGAAATACTCAGAATGTTTAATGGGATTTTGAAAACATAGTATAGATAGACATAATATGAGTTTTATACTTACCACAAAGCTACAACAATCAAAATGTGTACAGTAGTTGTAAAAGGACAAAGAGTCTGGAGAGTGAAAGCCAAAAACAGGGCTAGAAAAAATAGTCAAATATTAATCAAAAGAACAAGAGAAACTTATCCACAAAAAGTGTGATCTTGACCAATGTTATCCAACTACCAATGAATCTACATTTACAGAGATTAAATAAACACACATTTCAAAACTCCAGTAAAATTAACCCAAAGTGGCCCTTAAACTGTTGTTTCTGACTCTCCAGCTACTGATATTTCTTCCAAAGACAGAAGCCCATGCACTAAAGCTCTTTCTGCAAAAGGAGATTTCTTGCTCTGGCTCTGAAGCCCTTAACACCTCCTGTGGTTTCAGGTAAACCCAGGCCCACTGATGCCTAATCCCAAAACAACATGGAAGAATAATTTAAAATTGGCTTTCTGCCACATGAATTATTGTCCAAGATATGGATCCTGCCCTAACTACCTGCCTGACACCATGTACACCTGAGCATCTCTGCAGACCGACCAGAATCTCCTTTTGTGCCCTGGACCTAAGCTTCACCGAATCACAGTTATTTTGGCTTGTCGGAGAAGACGGTTAAAAACATTCTAATCCTGTATTGCTGTAAGACAATCCACATCACCTTTTTTCTATCATTTTCTAAACAGTTTGTAATGTTTATAACACAAACCTGAAATTGGAGTACAATACTCAGAACGTCTCAATACCAGATTGCCTGTTTTCCAATCTGTGCTCCCACTGCACAACAAACCAAGTGCCTGTGTGGGCATAGTGCCAGTGATACTACAAGCATCATATCCTCCCATACCAGGGTTGCAGAGTCTCACCCCAACCAAGAAATCCATATAGAGTGAGGCTCAGAGGACAAGGACAATTGCCCAGGTCACCACATGAACCAAGAGAACCACAGTCTGTCTCATGGTCCATACAAATTCCAGCAGAAAGGACAGCTCAGGAGACCTGCTCTGAACACCCTACACTCACCATGGTAGAGCTTGTGTTCTTCCATACAACTCCCTAGAGCAGAAGGAGAAGAGATCTCTGGAAAGAAACTGCAAACTACCACCACCAGTACTCCTGATTGCTAAGCCTTCCTAGAGTCCCTCTTTGGCTAGGGCTACCCAGCTGGACCTAGAATATTACCAGTCTCCCCAACAAGGTGACCAGATAGTACAGTCTTTCCAGCTCTTCCCTTCCAGCCCAGCAGACCGGGGCCTAGTCAAGAAAGTTTATATTTTAGTAGACATTCTTCCACTCTCCTAGAACACATCCTGGTCTTCATAGCTGGGAAATACTCCAGCCAAATGTATGACACATTCAAACAGTATCTGTTGCTATTGTGTTACTGTTATTTAACAGGCCATGAATTAGAAACCAATGAGGAGTCATGGGAGGGCTTGGGGACAGGAAAGAGAATGTAGATATGATGTATTTATGATCTAAAAAAGTTATCTTGAAAGTTGAAAAGAGCTTTATGGCAATGTGCACCAGAGACTACGGATTTCTATTAGAGCAGATCAAACATTTCTCAAATCTTTTCTCTCAGACTGTACATCTAAGCCCAGAAAAATAACAGTTCTGTTAGGCAGGTCACAACAGTTTACCCAGATCTATTTTGGTTGAACCACGGTAATTACAGCAATTTCTTTTCACAGTAAGGACTGTCGTTTATAGAGATTCTTGATTCCCCTCATCTGCGAACCCCCAAAATGGCCAATCAGGGCAATTATGGATCATCTGGAATTGATTACCTAATTCTACATTGCTAATCTCAACTATGATGCAGGAGGAAAGTTCACCCTCCATCCTGCTTCTCCCTTTCTGCACTGTGACTCCACCAGTTTCACAGTTGGTCCATGAACTGAATTCTTGCACAGGTCCCTCTTCATTTATAAGTCCCAACTAAAAATCAGAGCTTGGCATTCACTCATCAACTGGTCTAGTGTTCCTCTACTCTAATCAGTTAAGGCCCACACTGGAAGGAGATGCAGGATTGTCTTCCCAGCACTTTGCAGGATTAAGTGTTCAAAGCAATTCCCAATGACACAGCATGAGGCAAGCCTGAGCTACAGGAGACTTTGCTCTAAAATCAATAATACACATCACTTGAAGAAAAGGACTGAAACTAGTAAAAACCTACAAACATTGGAAAACAGAAGCAAATAGACCGCTGTCTCTAGGAAACCTCAGACTGAAAGCTCAGACTGAATCTTCTCACTGCATGCACTCCTGTCTCTTCCCACCTTATATTATTTTCTCTGTCCAGTCATATCAATCCTATTTCCACCTCCCTGTGCAGGGATTAAAGGTGTGTGATCCCAAATGTTGGGATTAACTTTGGGATAACCTTTGTGTAACCAGTTTTTCTTTGAGACTGATTCTCTCTCTCTCTCTCTCTCTCTCTCTCTCTCTCTCTCTCTCTCTCTCTCTCTCTCTCTCTCTCTCTCTCTCTCTCTCTCTCTCTGTGTGTGTGTCTTGTAGCCAAGAGTAGCCTTGAACTCACAGAAATTCGTCTACCTATGTCTCCTAAGTGCTGGAATTAAAGCCATGCCCCACCACTGCCTGGTCAGAGATGATCTTGAGTAATTGATCTCCTTCCTATATGTCTAACTAGTGGCTTAGGTGTGGTTAACTAGTGGCTTAGCACTTAGCTAAGGGTGTAGCAAACTAGTGAATTAGCTCTGCACTCTGATCTTCTGGCAAGCCTTATTTGTGAGATTATAAACAACATTACTGCAGTCATCAAGGAGAGATAGATTGATGTTGCCCATATGCATATGTTGGCTACTGAGCTTTGTCAACTGACACATAGTTACAGTCAATGACCTGCTTCTCAAACCTGAGGTGTCATAACTGCATCAGGCAGAATAGAACATATCTGCACAGGAATTATCCTAACTGCAAATTCAATATTCATTGGCTTAAGATAACCTTCCCAAACTACATCCACACAATCTGGTCTGTGTTTCTTCTCATGACATGAATTTAAGCATGCTGGGAAATTAAAAAAAATCATTTCCATTTACCACAATCAGGTCCGTCTTCATAATGGTGTCTCTACCAGCTGGTTGCCTACTCTGAATCCTTCCTGCAGTGTAAACTATTCCTCCTATTTTGCTCTTGAGGCAGAGGCAATGATCCCCATGGGAATTCTTTTCCTGTGATAACATTGGATAGTCGACTATGTAACTCAAATGGACAATTTTATATCTCTGAGGTGGTCCATTCATTTAAGAATTTTGAAGTTGTAAAATAAAAGACAGCAAGGTCATTGCCGTGGACAGCAACAGACTGGAATCAAGGCCACCTGAATCAACATAAGAGAGCTTGCCTCAGAAAAAAATTCGTAATAAAATGGAAATGCAGCATTGTTGAAATGCTGGAACTTTGTCAAGCAACAACGGTCACCATGGTGTCCATGCCATTATCTTACAACATAGCTCCATGTGCTATGGATATGTGGATAAGTAAGTATTTGAAATTTCATGCTTCTTCATGTCTCCATCATTTTCCCATGATCTTTACTCTTTTCCCATCTTTGGGATACAATGGAGGACTTTTTAAGGGCAGAGTCCAAACTGAAATGAATCCAGGGGTGGGTCTACCCATGCCACCCTGAGGGAGGGGTTTGGAAATGTGCTACAAAACACAGTCTATACTCTCACCAGGCTCTTTCCACCTCCACCTCCCTGTTATGGGGGAAGCTTCACCCAACCTGCCTTCTCTGTCTCCTCAAGGAACAGATGCCTGAGGTCCATAGGATGGCAGCTAAGGGAATACTTCCCCATCCATCTCTCCTGCTGAGTCCCCTCCTCCCCACATTGTTCCTTGTCAGCAGGTAGAAGCCTGCTGGAAATATATGTATCTCCTATTCAATGTGTATTCTGATTAAAATTTCTGAGCGGTATGAAACGAAATGGATTGGCATTTCTACAGCATAGCTCTCATGGGGCTATAATGCAAATGGTGGTATCTGTTGAGGCATTGTTTTCTTTCTTCTTTTTCACAGGCATGCCTTGCAAACACAGAATAGCTGCCTGACACTGAGTTACACGTTTTGTGCAGGATCCTCTGGCAGGTAGAGCTGGGGAAGGGCCGGTCCAGCCAGTTTCCTCCAGGGGCTGAGCAGGAGGGTGAGTGCTTCAACAACTCAGATCCTCCCCCACTACTAATTACCTGGAAGAAAATACACACTGAGTTGGGTGACTTGTGGAAGCAGGATCTTCCTTGTGGAAGCTCGATTTACTCCAACAGGCAGGAACTTTTATAGGGCTGAGTTTGGGGTTGGGAAACTTAGGATGGGGTAAGGTGATATGAGGAGTAAGGGCCAATAATATTCCACCAAGCTGGCAGGTAGCTAGACAGGGGGCAGTCTTACATCAGGCTTTGCTGAGTCACCCCCAAGCAGAGGTTACAGGACAGACACAGGTTGACAACATCTAGCCAGGCTCAGAAGGTTACACTGGTCCTTGCATCCCAGCCTTATTAGGGAGAAATTAAGAATCATCAATATACTTTAAGCTGTGCCTATTTACACTGTTGCTCCTTTTTTTTTTTAAACTTCCAGGAGATAAATTTCCTCAGAGATACATTTGTATAAACTTACACTTGAAAATAACCTTCTAGGTCTTCTAGAACTTTGACAATGTTCTTCAATAATATGGTACTCCCAACTGTAGTCTAAAATACAATACCAGATAATATATGATATATTAATACAATTGTACAAAATTTAAGTTAATATCTTTATTGAACATTAGAAGTATGCCTTATTCACCTAATTTTCCTTTTTTTCACTCAAAATTACAGAAGAGTATCAATAACCAAGAAACAGTTGTCCTCTTATTTTAAATCATGTAGGAAAATTCATCTTACCTATAGCAGTGAGGTTCCTGTAGGTCTCCAGCATCATATCTTTGTAGAGACTTTTCTGGGAAGGATTCAGCAAAGCCCACTCTTCCTGAATGAAGTTGATATGCACATCATCATAGGTCACTGCATCCTAAAATAAATACATGTATAAAATACTAAGTGTGATACTCACATTGTAAATGTATGCTTTTTTGACAATGCAGCCATACAATTCTGGTGCTTATTTCATGGCATAGACATTATTATGTATTCACCCAGTCAGTTTAGAAGGAAACTGAATAGGAGTTTCACATCAATTCTTGGCCCTTTAAGTAGCATATAACCTTGAGAAAGAAATCCCAATGAACAGACACAAAGAGAGAGACAAGCAAGCAGATCAACACTACTGAGAACACATCAGAGAAATTGTATGATAGTGCCAGCCTGTAACAGAAATACCCCAGAACCTGGTACCAACTTCTGTCTATGTTAGGTTTTCACTGCCGTGAAGAGCCACCATGAACCATGACAACTCTTACAAAGAAAACATTTAATTGAGATTTGTCTCTTAACATTTCTGAGGTTAAGTTAATCATCATCATGGCAGGGGGCATGACAACATGCAGGCAGATGAGCTGCTGAAGTTTAGAGTTCTTACATCTTGACTCAGGGGCAACAGGAACTTGACTGACACAATGGGCAGCACCTGAGTATAAGAGACCTCAATGTCTGATGCCACATTGACATACTTCCTCTAACAAGGAAAAACCCAGTCCAACGAAGCCACACATCCTACTATTGTCAATAGTGGGAGCTCACAGGCTATGCACTGAGAGCTGGGAAACATTCATAGCAACAAACTAGACCCTGTGAATACAGGTGACAGTTACATGACTTGATCTGTTGGGGACCCCTGGCAATGAAACCAGGACTCATACCAGGTCTATGAACTGACTTTTTAGAGCCCACTCCCTATGGTGGGATACCATGCTCAGTCTTGATACAGGATGGAGTGGCTTGATCCTTCAACTTGGTATGCCAGACTTTGTTGACCCCGAAATAAGGCCTTACACCCTCTGAGGACTGAATGGGGTTGCAAAGGGGAATAGATAGGCAGCAGGAGATGCGGAGGGAGGGGAACTAAGGTAGGTATATAAAACGAAAACTAAATTTGTAAAATAAATTTAAAATGAAACAGTGTATGAATTCTATTATGCACCCAAAGAGACTGCTTTTGTTCTCATTGCTGTATAAGGAACAAGAATTTTCAAAACAAGTTTGCACAGATTTTTGTGTATACAATTTGTGTGTGAGAGAGGTTTTCCATGTGTGTACATGTGACAAACCAGAGAAGAGACTGTCAGAGATCCCAGATCGGGAAAAGCAAGTAGTTATGATCATCTACATTTGGGTGTTGGGACCTGAACTCAGGTCATCTCAAGGAAAATTAGGTGCTGATCTACCAGCTAGGCCCAATATTCCTTTTCAGATTAAAAACAAGAATAAAAGAGCCTACATAAATAAAGAAATAAATAATCACTGGGAACTTGATGCATCAATATTAAGATACAGAGTAAATTGGTAAATTTGCAACATGAATTGAATACAATCCAAAGAAAATTCCCCACACCTTATAACAGGATATCTGATTCCAAAGCTATATGCAAATTGGATATGGAGAGAATTTTCAAGAGGATTACCAAAAAAAAATTGTACACACGTTCACACAGTGTGACTTCTATACTTACAACAAATCTACCACAATCGAGAAGGTGTACAATATTTGGGAAAGAATAAAGAGGAAGGATAGAAAAAGCCAAGAAAAAAAAGCAAGAAAATATAATCAACTTTTCATCTAAAGACCAAAGGAAAGTCAGCCAGGTAAACTGTGATCTTGACCAATATTACCCATGATTCCATTTATTTTTAGAAATTAAATAAACAACCCACACAAAATTAACTCAAAGGGACCCTTAAACCGTTCTGGATCTGACCCTTCAGCTATTGATATTTCCTCCAGAGACTCCCCATTGTCTAGAGCTCTCTCAATTGGGGACAATGTTTCTGCAAGTCCTCATGTCCCCTTTTGGTATGAGGCAAACCCAGCCCATTGATGTCCACACAGAAAATAACATAGAAGAATAATTTAACATCTGCTTCCTGCCACATGTGACACAACATGTGGAATCTGCTCTATCCACGCAGCCAACACCATGCACAAGTGTCTAGCTTCTGCAGATCAGAAATTCATTTATTCCCTGGAACTTAACTTTCCTGAATCATGCCATTGTATCTGGAGGCAGCAGAAAGTTAAAAGCATTCTGATCATGTATTGCTGAAGGACGATCCCTATTGTCAATGTCTAGTGCTTTGGGGTCCCTGGGTAAGGTCTCACCAAAATCAGGACACAGGGAATGCAGAAGACAAGCAACTGCATTCAAACTTGACTTTTGTAGAACTTTTATACATAAGCTTATGCAAGCTGTCTCACAATCTTCAAACCCACAATATCACACAAGGCATCAGGAGATGTCTTGCCCCATGAAACAATGTCTCTACTATATTTAAAATACTATGTAGTAACAAGCACTTCCCTATATCTATAGAACAGTGGAGCACAGTTCATTGACCCTGAGAGACACTTCATTATCTTGAGTAGCAAATTCTGGCAGATCATTTGAAACATGTCAGCAGAAGTACGCTTCCAGCTATTCTTGGTCGGCCAAATCTCATGCTTCAAACTATGCGTCATTCGACTCAGGAGGAGCCTGCACCTCACTAAGCCAGCTCTGTATCTCAATACCCCATCACCTCCTTCTACCACTTTCTAAACTGTGTGTATCACATGTAAGACAAACCTGAAAATGGATTTCAATTTTCATAAATTCCAGAAGTCAAACTTACAGTTTTCCTGTGATGCACACTTGATACTGATATTACAAGTATCACAGCTTCCCATAGCCAGGGCTGCAATACATCCCTCTCTCTTCCCAAGGAACCTTCACTCTAGGAGACTCAGAGGACAAGGGCTACTGTTCAGGAGAGCACATGACTCATGGTCCCTCCCAGTCCCAGCAGCAATGAAAACTAGGCAGACCTGCTGCTCCTGCTCAGAAGGCCCACACTCACTGTGACTGTGGTCTTCATCATAGCTCCTACAAGACAGCCAGCAAAGAATCCTTTAGAGAACATGCTAGCTACCTCCAACTGGTCCTCCTGAGTGCTAAGCCTTCCCAGAATACATCATTAGCTAGGGTCACACAGCTGAACCACAGAACCTCAGCAGCTCCCCTCTTGGGTATGTAGAGACCAAATATCTCAGACAGCATAGGCATTGTTAGTGCTTTCCTTCCATCCCAGCAGACAGGGCCCTCGTCTGGAAAGTTTGTGTTTTAGTAGACATTCTCCCACTCTCCAAGATCACTTCCTGTTCTTTTCCAAGGCATAAGGTCTTTTATGTACTCACACCATTACATACTCGGTATCCAGGGTAGCCAATGGTTTCCTTAATTCTGGAAAGTCATACAGCATACAGAGGTCACATTCAAACTTCCATAGGTCACACTCTATTGTTACTGTGTTACTGATGTTAAAGAAAAACAGGCCATAAACTAGAAAACAATGAGGGGTCATGGTAGGCCTTCCAGCCAGGAAAAATACAATAGATACTATTAATATGAGGCTGTTGTAATAAGAGAATTCCTTTGAAAAGTTGAAACAGGCTTTATAGGCATCTACCCCAGAGACTAGGGATCTGGATGAGAGAACCCTAAGGGTCACCCACGTATTTTCTTGGCCTGTACATCTTAAACTAATAAAATAACAGTCCTGCTAGGCAGGGTCACACCATTTTATGCAGATCTTCTATTTTGGTTGAACTGGTATAACTATAGCAATTTGGTTTCATGATAACATCAGTACTTTATCCAGATTATTGATTGCCGTTGTCTGTGGAACACACGAAATGGCCAGTTGGGCATTTTATTAATAATCTAAAATTGATTACAAGACCCCATACTGCTAATTTCCACTGCTGGTAAGCAGGGATTGGCTCATGTTCCTTCCTTCTCCCTGCACTGTGCCTACACCAGCTTCAAAGGTGGTAAATGAACTCAATTCCTCCATGTATCTCTCTTCATTTGCAGGCCCAATACAAGCCAGAGGAATTGTTAAACACCCATTAACTAATCTATATCACCTTCTCAATGACCACTCAATGCCCTGCCTTGGAGGAATTGCAGCAGTATTTTCCCAGCGCTGGGTAGCAGAGGCAGGGTTAGCTGTTTCCAGAGAAATTATCAGCCACATAGCCTGGGGGCACCCCTGAGCTCAATATAACCTTCCCAAAATATGAACCCACAAATCTGGTCCATCTCCATTTACATGACATTAAATAATACATCCTGGAAATTTGAAGACAATCACTGAATCTGCCTAAATTTTATCAATTTTATTTAATGAACTGTGTCATTTTCTGCTATGTATTACTTTTTAGAAAGTGTACTTTCTAAAGTCATCCAAGATGAAAATGGTCAATGGTGCATGTTGGGAGGACCACAGAAGGGAGACTGTGACTGGGTCAGGACAGTGTCCATTACCCGCCTCCCCAAACTCCAGCACTTCAGTGTTATGGCACCAGCAACTGTTGGCTAAGGTATTTGCCACCCCATCTTTCCTATTCTTTTTTTATTTTATAAAATTTATTTAAATTAGAAACAATCTTACTTTGCAGATCAATCCCAGTTCCTTCTCCCTCCCACCCTCCTATGCCCCCTACAGAACACCCTATCCCTTCTCCCATCTACTCCTCAGGGATGGTAAGACCTTCCATGAGGGGTTATCAAAATCTTTTACATCATTTGGAGTAGGGCCTAGGCCCTCCCCTGTGTATCTAGGTTGAGTTATCCCTCATGTGAAATGGGATCCCAAAATCCTTTTGTGCACTGGGAATAAATACTGGTTCCTCTGCCAGAGGTCCCATATACTGCCCAGTGCTCCTAGCTGACACCCAAGTTCATGGGGTCCTATGCTGGTTTCTCAGCTGTCAGATTTGGGTTCATGATCTGCCACTTGTTCAGGTCAGCTGTTTCTGTGGGTTTCTCCAGCCTGGTCTTGACCCCTTTGCTCATCACTCCTCCCTCTCTGCAACTGAATTCCAGGAGTTTGGCTCAGTGTTTAGCTGTGGGTGTCTGCTTCTGTTTCCATCAGTCACTGGATGAAGGCTCTAGGATGGTGTATAAGGCGAAGGAAGGCTATTGAAGGTAGCCACTCCACTACTGCTTAGAATCTTAGTTCGGGTCATCCGTGTAGAACTCTGGACATTTTCTTAGTGCTAGATTTCTTTATACCTAAACGACTCCCTCTATTATGGTATCTTTTCCCTTGCTCCCCTCTATCCTTCCCATGACTCAACTTTCCTGATCCCTCATGTCCTCCTCACCCCTCCTCTGCTCCAATTCTCTTTCTCCTACACTCCCCCTCCCCCACATACTCCCAATTTGCTCAGGAGATCTTGTCCCTTTCCCCTTCTCCAGGAGACAACGGCAGGGTTTTTAAGGGCAGAGTCTGAATTGAGATATATCCACTGGATGCCCTCCATGACACCCTGAAGATTGGGTTTGGAATGCTTCTACCAAATACCACCTGGACTCACACCAGTCTCTCTCCACCTGCACCTCCCTGTTAAGGTGGAAGTTTCACCCAACCTGACTTCTCCACCTCAAGGAATACACGTGTGAGGTACAGGATGTCAGCTACGGGAATACATTTCCACCCTTACCTCCTGCTCAATGTGAGCCCACTGAGTCTTAACTCCCACCCTCCCCACATGGTCCCTTGTCAACAGAAAGAAGCCAGACATTAACCTTCGCCCCAAACCTAAGGAGTCTGGATTGTTTAGGTGGAAGCCCTACTAGCTTCTATATCTATGCCTAGAGGTTGGAATGTTTGGTAGGCCTGTTCCAAACCCCACCCTCAAGGCGCCAAGGATGGGCCCTTATCTGGAGTCACCTCAATCCAGATTAAGCCCTTAAAAGTCCACTATGGCTGGCTCCACCACAGAGGTGGTGGGGGTGGGGGTGGTAAAAATCCCTCACCTCTGGATTCACCTTGTGGTTTCTGTCTTTCTGTTCCCCTGGGGCCACACAGGAATTCTTTGCTCAGATTAAACCATGTGCTTTGTCTCTTCTGCTCACCTGGTCCTGTCACTCAGGCCTCACTAGCCAATCAGAGCCTGTAGTAGACAAGCCAGTCCGATGGGAGGGACCTTCAGAGTAAGTGTGCTGTGCCTTTGGTTCTGTGTACCTGACCCAAAGGTGGAAAGTGTGGGGCAGGCTCTTTCTCATTTGTACTCTCTCTTGGTATGCAGATCACATAAGACAGCAGAGAATGCATCTTCTGGAGCAGGAATACAGCATTTTTATTATCATTGGTGTAAGTTGTTCCCCATTAAGACAGCCACTTATCATTTATCTTGGGTCTAGTGAACAAATTAACAACCCGCCTTAACACCATTTTTTTATTGAGACTAAACATAAGTATGACTTCTAACAGTTTGTTTACGTGAACTGGGTTTTCTCTTCCCTGAGTTCTTCCCTATTACCTGATATCAAGATGATACAAAGAAGAACGAAAACATATACAAGGTTAGAGTTATAGATGAGCAAAATTATGACAAAAGCTTTGCCAGGACCTAGGTCAGGTTTTTGAGAACTTTCTGTAATTTCTTTTACAGAAACACTCAAAGGTCTAACTTCCTTGGGAACACGCATAAATAGTCACAGACCCACACACTAACATCACATAATTTAAATAAAATAAAATCTTTAACCAAATAGATTTTCCAATGTGAATATTTTCTCTTGTAATGAGTCAGTCCTGTAATCCAGGTGTTGATTCATTTAAAGTCATAAGTATCCCTTAATCATGAATTGGTTCATTTAACAGAAAGGAAGCACAAATAATTGAATTCATAGAAATTGATCAATCTGAATGAGGTTTTTTTATGTAATTAAAGAGTGTGAAATCAAAATGGTTAAGTTATCAATGAATTCATAGGACATTTGTCCATATAAGTTTGCAAATGCAAACAAACTAGAGATATCATAATGCTGAAGGTCAAAACAAATCACTTATAAGATTCCCTTCAGTATGAATATTCTTAGGCATTCAAAGATTACTGTGATATGTAAAGTGCACAATTTATACCACACTGCTTACATTTATAGGGTTTCTCTGCAGTATGATATTTTTCCAGATTTTAAAGACTGATTATACCTACAAAGGCTTTACCACATTGATTACATTCACAGGGTCTCTCTCAGGTATGTGTTTTTTTATGTCTTATGAGAGAGGAGTGTTGTGAAAAAGCTTTACCACACTGACTACATTCATAGGGTTTCTCTCCAGTATGCATTCTTTTATGTCTTTGAAGGTGACTGTTATGTGCAAAAGCTTTACCACATTGACTACATTCATAGGGTTTCTCTCCAGTATGTGTTCTTTGATGTACTTGGAAATGACTATGATGTGAAAAGGTTTTACCACATTGATTACAGTTGTAGGCTCTCTCTCTTGTATGTGCTCTTTTATGTCTTTTAAGGTAACCGTTATGTGCAAAGGCTTTACCACATTGATTACATTCATAGGGTTTCTCTCCAGTATGTGTTCTTTGATATACTTGGAAATGACGATGATGTGAAAAGGTTTTACCACATTGATTACAGTTGTAGGCTCTCTCTCCTGTATGTGTTCTTTTATGTCTTTTAAGCTGACCATGACTTCCAAAAGCTTTATCATATTGACTGCATTCATGGGTTTTCCCTCCATTATGTGTTCTTTTATGGAGTCGGAGACATGCAAAGACTTCACCATATTGAAAACTTTCATATGGTTTCTCTCCAATATGAACTTTCTTATGCCTTTGAAGATGCCTGTAATACACCAAGGTTTTAACACACTGAGTATATTCATAAGGTTTCTCTCCTGTATGCCTTCTTTCATTCCTGAAAAGATAACTGGCACATGTAAAACATTTACCACATGCATTATACTGAAGGATGCTAGTACCTGTATAAATGAAATTTATAATTTGTCCTAATTGTAAAGAGGAATGAGATCTTAAGTTTTACATTCATGATGCTTCTCTTCATGAGTGGTTGTTTTGTTGTCTTGAACATACCTGTGATAGTAAGAGCCTTTAACTAATGGCCTATATTTATTGTATCTTTTTTATGTGAGAATTTTCACATATTTGAAAAGAATTAGAGGAACTCAGAAAATTACCATACTTATTGCATTCATAAGTTTTCTAATAGTGTAAGTAATAATATATTGGAAGAATATACCAGAAAAAAATGGAAGTATTCATACAATCCAATACACATAGGGGTTTTCTGCAGTGTGAGTTTGTTGATGCCTTTCCAACAAAGTTGGAAAACTAATTAATTTTAAACTTGTATCACATTCAAGGAAGATACTCAAAGTGGGTGACTACTAAATATCTATCATATCTGCTAATTGTTCTGACAGAGAGAGAGAAAGAGAGAGAGAAACAGACAGACAGACAGACATTGCTTTTTACCATATTTTAGGCTCACATGGTTTTTATTTATAGTGACACATGATATTCTTTTCTTTGGTTTTTAAGACAGGGTTTCTCTGTGTAGATGTAGAGCCTGACCTGGAATTCACTGTGTAGACCAGGCTGGCACCCAACTCATAGACACCCAAATGCCTCTGCCTTCCAAGTGCTGGGATTAAAGGTATTCACTATCTCTGCCCCATGGGACATGATGTTCTTATTAAAAATTTCCACATTGCATTCACAGTTTGACTTTCTTTTCCTCACTGACATGTGGTATAGGGATTAAGGTTTCTTCACAACAACCTTCTTGATTCTTATAAACTGACCCTTAGCAAAGTCACAAATGTATGAGTAATACCAACTGTATTATAGAATCTTTTTCTTAGAAGTCTTGGACATACATGTATCATCCATTCCACGTACACACCATTGAAAATACCTGAGCAGTATTAAACTAAATGGATTAGCATTTGTACAGCAGAGTGCTCATGGGGCTATATTCAAATGGTCGTATCTCTTAAGGCATTGTTTCTTTGTATTCTTTTTTTTTCAAGACAGGGTTTCTTTGTATTGTTTTGGAGGCTGTCCTGGAACTCGCTCTGTAGACCAGGCTGGCCTCGACCTCACAGAGATCTGCCTGCCTTTGTCTCCCGAGTGCTGGGATTAAAGGTGTGTGCCACCAACGCCCGGCTCTTTGTATTCTTTTTAACAGGAATGCCTTGCAACTACCGAAGGTTGCCTGACATTGGGGTACACATTTTTTTGTGAAAAATTAAAAATCATCAGTATACTTTAAACTGTACTTATTTACACTATGTCTTTCCAGGACACATTGAAATTTCTTCAGGAGCAAATTTGTATAAACTTGCACATGAAAATTACCTTCTACATCTTCTAGAACTTTGACAATGTTCTTCAATATAATGGTCTTCCAAACTGTAGCCTAAAATACAAAATCAGAAACTATATGGTATATTAATGAAAATTGTATGAAATATAAGTTAACATCTTCAGTGAACACTGTAATGGTGCTTTATTCACCTAATTTTCTCTTTTCTAAATGGAAATTACAGAAGAGTATCAACAACCAAGAAAAAGTCATTCCTTTATTTTAAATCAAGAAGGAAAATTCATCTTACCTGTGGCAGTGAGGTTGCTGTAGGTGTCATGCATCACATCTTTGTAGAGTCTTTTCTGGGAAGGATTCAGCAAAGCCCACTCTTCCTGAGTGAAGTTGATGTGCACATCATCATAGGTCACTGCACCCTAAAATAACCCACACACGTATAAAACAGAAAACGAGAAACTCACACTGTAAATGTATACTTCTTTGACAATACATTCATATATCTCTGGTGCTTCCCACACTTATTTAATGACATGGACATTATAATGTATTCACCAGTCACTTTAGAAGCAAACTGAATAAGAGGTTCACATGCACATTACTTGGCCCTTTAAGTATTATATATCCTTGAGAAGGAAATCCCAATGAACAGACATAAAGGGAGAGGTAAGCTAGCAGATCAACACTACTGAAAACACATCAGAGAAATTGTATGATAGGGTTAGTCTATCACAGCAATATCCCAGTGCCTGGTATCAACTTCTCTCTTTGCTAGGTTTTCATTTCTATGAAGAGATACAATGAACCATGGCAACTCTTACAATGAAAACATTTAACTGAGGTGTCTGCCTTAAGATTTAAGAGGTTCAGTTAAACATTATCATGGCAGGGGGCATGGCGGTGTTCAGGCAGATGTGGTGCTGAAGGTGAGAGTCCTTACAGCTTCATCCCGAGGCAACTGGATATTTCGGAGTACAAGAAACCACAATGCCTGATCCCAGAGTGACGTACTTCCTCTAACAAGGAAAAGCCCACTTCAACAAAGGCACACCTCCTACTAGTGTCACAAGTGAGAACTCATAGATTATGGAGTGTTACCTGGGGAACTTTCATGATACCAAACTAGACCCTTTGAATGTGGGTGACAGGTATGTAACTTGATCTGTTGGGTGGGGCTGGCAGGGACACCAGGTCCTATCACAGGTGCATGAACTGACTGTTTTGTAGTCCACTTCTTGTGGTAGGATGCCTTGCCCAGTCTTGATACAGGATGGAGTAGCTTGGTATTGTCTCAACTTGGTATGCCAGACTTTGTTGACTCCCAAAAGAAGTCTTTACACCCTCTGAGGATTGAATGGGTGATGGGAAGTGACAGAGGTAGGGACCAAGAGACATGGAGGCAGGGGGACTTGGGTTGGTACATAAAGTCTAAAGTAAAATTTTAAAATTAATTTTAAAAAACCAGTGTATGATCTATATTATGCACCCGAAGTGACTGGTCTTGCTATATTTCTCTATAAGTAACAAGAATTTTGACAACAAATTTATCCCAATTTTTTATGTTTGTGTGTGAGAAAGGTTTTCCAAGTATGCACATGTGACAAGGCAATGCAGAGGGACTCAGATAACCAGGATCTACAGTAGCAGGTAGTTATGAGCCTCCAAATTTGGTTGTTGGGTTCTGAACTCAGGTCATCTCCAAGAATATGTGCTGAGCCACCTGTCAAGCCCTACAGTCCTTTTTGCGCAAAACCCTAAACATCTTTCACAGATTAAAAGCAATGAGAATAAAAGTGTCTACATAAATAATGAAGTAAATAAATAATCATTGGTAACTTGATGCCTCAATATTAAGATACTGTACAAGGTAAATTTGCAATAGGAACTGAATACAATCCAAAGAAAATGCCCAACACTTCATAACAGGGAATCTGATTCAAATGCCACATGCAAATTGGAAACATAAAATTCTTAAGAGGATTACAAAATAGTACAAACATTGACACAAGGTGATTTTTATACTTACAACAAATTTACAGCAATCGAGATAGTGTACAATATTTGGGAAAGAATAAATGAGATGGAGAGTAAAAGCCAAGAACAAAAAGCAGGAAAATATAATCAACTTTTCATCAAAAGACCAAAGGAAACTCAGCCATGTAAACTGAGATCCTGACCAATGTTACTCAGCTACACATGATTCCATGTATCTAGATATTACATAAACAGACTTCACAACTTTGACAAAATTAAATCAAAAGGACCCCTAAATTGGTCTGCTTCTGACCCTCCAGCAATTGATATTTCTTCCAAACAGATATGACCCATGGTCTAGAGCTCTCTCCACAAATGTGGGTAATCTCTTGCAATGTTTCTGCAAACTCTCATGTCCCCTTATGGTTTGAGGCAAATCCAGCCCCATGATGCCCACATAGAAAATAACGTACAAGAAAAATTTAACGTCTTCTTCCTGCCACATGTATCATGACACAACATGTGGAATCTGTCCTATTCATCCTTGTAACACCATGTACATCTGAGAAACTTCTGCAGATCAGAAATTCGTTTTCTTCCCTGGAACTCAACTGTCCTGAATCACACCACTGTAGCTTGTGGTAGCAGAAAGTTAAAAGCATTCTGATCATGTATTGATGAAAGATGATCCCCATCACCTCATTCTATCAGTTTCTAAACTGTGTATAATACATGTAAGACAAACCTGAAAATGGATTTCAATATTCATACATTTCTGAAGTCAAACTTTCAGTTTTCCAATGTATGGTCCCACCACACACCCAAATCCACCCTGTGATGAACACTGGACACTGATATTACAAGTGTCACAGCTTCCCACACCCAGGACTGCAAGGCCTTCCTCTCTCAGGGAACCTATACTCAGGGAGGTTCACAGGACAAGGGCCAATGCCCAGGAGAGCACATGGCTCATGGTCCCTCCCAGTCCCAGCAGCAAAGACAGCTTGGCAGACCTGATGCTCGTGCTCTGAAGCCCCCACAATCACCATACTGTGACTGTAGTCTTCATTATAGATTCTACAATAGAGTCAGCAGAGAATCCTGGAGAGAACTACCTCCAACTGGTTCTCCTGAGTGCCAAACCTTCCCAAAATGCCTCAATAGCTAGGGTCACACAGTTGGACCACAGAGTATCAGCAGCTCCCCTCTTAGTGTATGTACAGACCAAATAACTCAGACACCATAGGCATTTCTTTCTGTACTGTGCCTACACCACCTTCAAAGTTGGTAAATGAACTCAATTATTTCATACACCTCCCTTCATTTGTTCCTGATACAAGTCAGAGGGATTGGTAAACACTCATGAAATGGTCTATATTTCCTTCTCAATGACCACTCAAAGCCCAGTACTGAAGGAACTGCAGTAGTGTCTTCCCAGCACTGCACAGCAGAGGCAGGATTAGTTGCCTTCCAAGTAATTCTCAACTACACAACCTGAGGGCATACCTGAGCTCAATATAACCTCCCAAAATGTGAACCCACAAATCTGGCCTGTCTTCATTTATATGACATGAATTAATATGTCCTGGAAAATTAAAGAAGAAAATTACTTTATCTGCTTGTCTGAGTTAAGATGTTTATTACTGTGAAAAAAATACTATGATGGCCACAAAATGTATAAAGAAAACACTTAATTGGGGTGGTTCACTTACAGATTCAGAGGTTCATTCCATTGTCATCATAGTGGGGAACATGATGTGAAGGATAATGTGGTACTGGTTACCTCTTGATAAGCCGGCCACAGGAAGTTGACTGATATTCTTTTTTTCTGGTGGTTTTTTTTTTTTTTTTTTTTTTTTTTGGTTTTTTCGAGACAGGGTTTCTCTGTGGCTTTGGAGGCTGTCCTGGAACTAGCTCTTGTAGACCAGGCTGGCCTCGAACTCACAGAGATCCGCCTGCCTCTGCCTCCCAAGTGCTGGGATTAAAGGCGTGTGCCACCAACGCCTGGCCCTTTTTTTTTTTGACTGATATTCTTGGCCATATCCAGAGCACAGAAACTCCAAAGCCCATCACCAGTGATGATACACTTCTTCCAAAAATGCCAAACTCACTGCAACAAAGTCATGTCTTCTAGACAAAACCCATCCTCCTGCATACAAGAAACACACCTCAGCCTCAAAGGCAGACATTACCTTAGAGTTAAAGGTTAGGAAAAGATTTTTCAATCAAATGGACCCAAGAAACAAGCGGGAGTAGCAATCCTAATATCTAACAAAATAAAATCAAAAAAGATGAAGGAGGTCATTTCATACTCATCACAGGAGAAATCCACCAAGAAGAAGTTTCAATTCTGAACATCTATCCCCCAAATACAAAGGCATCCATGTTCGTAAAAGAAACATTACTAAAATTCAAATCACATATAAAGCCCCACACACTTATAGTGGGAGACTTCAACACCCCACTCTCACCACTAGACAGGAATACCAGACAGAAACTTAACAAAGAAACAAAGGGTCTAATAGAAGTTATGACCCAATTGTGATTAACAGACTTCTATAGAACATTCCATCCACATAAAAAAGAATATAACTTCTTCTCAGTGCCACATGGAACCTTCTCAAAAATTGACCACATACTTGGCAACATATCAAACCTCAACAGGTACAAAAAAATTGGAATAACCCATGAGTTATCAGACTACCATGAGTTAAAATTAGAATTCAACAACAACACAAATTGCAGAAACCTTACAAACTCACGGAAATTGAATAATGCACAATTACACCATTCTTGGGTCAAAGAAGAAATAAAGAGAAATTAAAGACTTCCTAGAATTCAATGACAATGAAGACACAATATACCCAAACTTATGGGAGACTTTGAAATCAGTGCTAAGAGGAAAGTTCATAACACTAAGTGCCCACATGAAGAAACTGGAGAATAGTTACACTAGAGAATTAACAGCACAGCTGAAAGCTCTAGAACACAAAGAACTCACCCAGGAGGAGTAGACACCAGGAAATAATGAAACTGAAGGCTGAAATCAATAAAGTAGAAACTAGGAAAACAATACCAAGAATCAATGCAATGAAGAGTTGGTTCTTTGAGAAAAATCAACAAGATAGACAAACCTTAATCCAAACTTACCAAACGGCAGATTGTGAACATGTAAATTAACAAAATCAGAAACGAAAAGGGGGACATAACAACAGACACCGAGGAAACCCAGAAATCATTAGGTCATACATCAAAAACCTGTACTCCACAAAATTTGAAAACTTAAAGGAAATGGACAATTTTCTGGATAGCTATCACTTGCCAAAATTAAATCAAGAACAGATAAGCAATTTAAATAGACCTATAACTCCTATGGAACTAGAAGCAGTCATCAAAAGCCTCCCAACCAAAAAAAAAAAAAGCCCAGGTCCAGATGGCCTCAGTG